GCATGATAAACTGGCTTTTTCCTCTATCCATTGTTCAAGCACAACAAATATAGATTTCCCCCTCAAGAAAATCTGAATGGCACTGGCCACTCATTCACACAGAATGAGTGACAGCCACAGGAAACTTTCATACATTGTTTTACTGGAAAATTTTCCAGAACCATACTGTTGAGTTAGAAACTCTTTGGTTTTGCCAATGTGGAAACATGATCTGATTAAACATTCAAACTGTGTTAGTTTGTGGTGAGTAGTCTGAGGATGACCACATACTCTGGAACAGTTAGTTTCATTAAATCAAATAGAAGTAGAGTGCATTTCATTGCCCAGTCCCAAAAGACGCACCTTATAAAGTCTTGAATTACTCTGGCTTTCAGCTTTAAGAAAAGTTGTGTCAAATTTCCACATTCCAATTTAATTTGAATGGCAGTAGCTAATATAATTCAAAATTGCAATTTGAATTTAAGGATGTAGAATATACACTGAAATACACTGAATTTATTAACTAGAAAAGCAAGACAAACTTTGTTGGCGTGACAGGTTTTTAAGCTTTGAAAACGTATTAAAGATTCAAAGTTTGAAGGAATACAGGCTTTAGTATAGCCAGACGGACAAACAGACAAAGATAGAAAGTCAAAATTCAAAAATTGAAAGAGAACCATTTCTTCAAACTGAATTTCTGATTGTGGTGTCTGTGAAGTCCACAAGACCACACAATGTCCCATTTGTCATTTTGCAGTCATTACTTCACTCCAAACTACTACCCAAATGGCACCCTAAGCATTCGGCACAGCACTCCTCCCAGTCTACACATGGGCTGACTTCTGTAATCAGATGTACTGTAAGTTACACAGCCACTTATATGGTGAATCAGCATCAATTTCCACCTGGCAAAAGCACATAAACAGATGTCTATGAGGTTTGTTTTAAAAACCAATGCGTCTGGACATTTAAGGGGAAAGCTAGACCAGATCTTCCTGACAGCCCTCCAAGAACTCCGTATCTGGCTTCTAACTCCCTGATGTTGCAGAGTTTGGGCTGCAGGGTGGACGCAATGGAAGGGCGTTCTGACTTATTAGGGTTTCCCCATGTCTAATGTCTCATTCCCTGCTTCAGCTCCATGGATGGCCCCCAGAGAGGAAAATATGACAATGGTTGGCTTGGGTTTGTGGCAGAGCAGTCATTCCAGCAGACAGGAGCCTAAACACTAAAGCTGCTCATTGTTAAAGCCCTCATCTGGGTCTCATGACACAATGTTGCTAATTTCGATACCTGCTTTTACATTTGAACTGGGATTCAGAACCAACATCAAAGGATCACACCACATCCTGTCCCTCTTACGGCCAAATCAACCTTGACTTTGTAAGAGCTGCTACCACGATACGCACAGCAGTACCACGAGATCTGAGGTCAAAATCCTGCTGAGGAAAATAGGAAAACACACAAGGGATGGACCACATCTTGCTCAAACCACAACTGAAGAAACCCAGTGAAATCCAGCACCCGACTGGAGAATATTAAACAAATATTCTCTGCTAACTTTTCAAGGAAAATATTTCACCACTGGCAATGGGTTTTAAGAAAGTGTGACTTGAAAAAATAAGAGTTACGGGAAATCTGTGTATTTTTGGGATATTTTCTCATTGTGTGAACAGAAGATGCAGCTGTTGACGTGTGCTGGAGACGGACCTGGATTGTGTCCCAGCTTAAGAAAAGGAAACAGCGGCTGTCCTCAGAGCAAGAGAGAGTAACTCTGACAGATTTGTGAGGTTAGTTTCTCATGGACGGAATCATTTCTCTCAGGGGGAACGAGAACGAGAGCGTGAGGACAGTCCTAGTAAATACTGCCAGCATTGACTCCTGGCTGATGTCTATCCCTCATTAGGACTGAAGCAGTTAGGCAGCAGTTGGAGAATTATCATACCATATAAACAGTCACAAGACTACATATATATTTTTGGATGCTATTTAGATGCCTCTCTACGGCTCATTGGTTGCCTTCTCATGACTGATTCCACAAAGAGGCCTTTGAAAACACGAGCAGCCTTCTTTTTTAACCCTGAAGCCCATTTGCCTACATTTTTCACTACAGAAATTGTTCATGGAGACATTAAACACTGCAGGCAACACATAATACAATTGTTTGTTACATAGATAGTATTACATAGTATGGCGTGCATCTTATTTCAACATCTGAGGAAGGGGCAGCACAGAACCCGCAAGACAGTAATAGCATTTGCCTTTAAGCCTTTTAACTTCCTGTTTGCTATCTTTAGACTTCCATATAAATGTATTTATTATGCATTTATGCATTTGCCAGGCGCCTTCATCCAAAGTGACTAGTGCATTCAAGGTATATGTTTTCATATTTTCAGTATGCCCTGGAAATCAAACCCATGACCTTGGTGTTGTTAACAGCTGAGCTACAGGAATGATTCCAAGATGGCACAGAATCGTGGGTACAGGTAACTTCTAGAGGGCACACAAACACATTTGTTTTGTTCCAAAACCTTGTGAGCTGCCTGTGTAAGCAGTATTTTAAGGCATCATTTTAAGCCATTAAAGTCACACTCCCAACATGAAGAGGCAGCATAATTATACCGCCTACTAAGATACAATTCATTTGACTAGATTCTAAGCAAGCTTCATTCCCATTATTTTATCAAAGATAGTCTTTTTATTTTTATTACAATCTGCATTTTTTGGAATAATAATATGTCCGTTGTTAAAATGAACTATTTTACCAAAAGTTTGAACATGCTATCGTTAGCTTATCAATATGCTAACATCAAATCTGTTTGGATGCTGCCTTGGAAGGTTCTTGTGGCAGCAGACAAACAAGGCAGCTCACTGGGTCTTGGAACAAACCCATTTTTATGACACAAATACTGACAAATGCCAAGCCTTAATTTCATCTGTACATCTGAAGTACTCACAAGTGAACTTGCGGTCACTGAGACCAATACACCACAGTCATGCCTGAGCAATGCAGTCACTGAGTCAGCACTGAAATTCATGGTTTGGTCGAGCAGTCATCAATCAAAGTCTATACATACTCTATATCAGCCCTACAGTAGTCCTGTAACACACTCACACAGAACAGTAATGAACTAGTAAACACTGCAAATCTCCCCATATACGAAAGAAAAAGAAATAGTTATGACATCAGTGGTACCCTGGCAGAGAAAAGCTAAAACATTTACTAGAAAAAAAGGCCTGTAAGAAAACCAAAACAAAATGATTTGCTAGAGTGGCAATAGCTGAAAGGTTCTGGTTATGGAACAGTCCAACAAAAGACATCTCAATCTAAATCTCTTAAACATTTCTCTCTGTTTACCGGGAACATCCTTGAGGGTTGATGGAGTGAGATACGTAGGCTACATAAATGTCCATAAAAGGGCTAAATCTGAAAGCAAACGAGAGGCAGCTGTAACAATAGGCTGTCATAATGTATCTGTCATGAGGAGTATTATTTATATCCGTGGTGCAGACTACATTGCAGTCACAGAATAGGGTGTGGAAACTTCAAGAGAGAGAGAGAGAGATTGTGTGTATAGTCACAGGATATGGCAAATTCTCTCATGTTCCCTTCAGTCAATCGTCATTGTTTCCTGGATGCAATCTTTAGGTAGTTCCAAACCGTTTCATCGTGCGAAAACTGCAGCTGATAACTTTGTTTTGCTCTGACGCAGTGTGTGTTTGTTTCCTTCAGTAGCAGAATAATTAGCGCTGAATAAATAGATAAATAAGCACAGACGAGCAAACGAATAAATGCAGTGTCGACCTTAATGAGCAGGCTCGTTAGATTGGGTGATTGCTGTTTGGAGTTAGTTTAATTCGATCTGCCTCTCTAATCCCACAGCCTGCGATGCTTCATTGTTCACCGCAGCTCTTACAAAAAAAAAAAAAAAAAAAAAAAACAGACGTTAGCTCATTTGAATTTGAGAGGTATAACTATTGATCTCACACAAAGGGAATTACTCTGTGTTCTAAGTGAAAACAAATTACGCTGGTTTGTCCCAATCCTAATAATGAAAGGCACCAATGTATTTTGTGGAAGTTTCTATGAATACTGACATAAACGTTAAATTCTCTATTGGCTGAATCAAGGCAGTATAGAGAGATACTGGGGCAGTTAACTCCAATCAAGGGAAAGGTAAAGGTTCAAAATCAACTTTCGGCCACACCTACCAATGGCTGCTGTAATGAAAAGTCATAAAAAAAAACAGTCATACATAAACACAGCGCCTAAAATGAGCACTTGCCAAGCGTAAGAAATCATCCGTGTAGGTTAGTATATGAAATGGTGTCAATTGCCAGTTGGTAACATTTTAAGAATTCTAACAATGCAATGTTGTGAGATAATGAAAGTGAACAAACGTGAACAACGCTCGCGACAGTTGACGGGCCAGCGCTGCATCATCATGAAAGTTTAAGACTTATCAATTTAAATATTCAAGCAAAAACGAGAGATCAATTAATTATTCGCGTGATGTGAGGAAAGCTTTGTGAGCGGAAACATCCGAAGCGCGTGCCCAGAAAGCCGCATCTCAGATAGTGCGTGGATATTGAATTGAGCTCCCTTTAAATTCTTGCACTTGAATGGTCAAATTCACACAAAATTATGTCAAAATGCCCACCTTGGCGGGTATGCTAGTAAACATAGTCGGTCATGGCTTAAGTACACGTAAATGTCAATTGGCAATTTTTTGTGGTATCTTAAATGTTGGTGTCAAAACTGCCTGAATAAATTACAATTTAAAATATGTTAAAATTTTATTCTGAATTGTAATAATATTTCACAATTTATGTTTTTTACTGATTTTTTTATCTTCTTCTATCTTCTTTTATCTTCATTTTTTGTTTTAAATCCTACCTACCTCATATTTTTAAATATTGTGTATAAATTCTGTTCCTAATTCAATGGTATAAATAAGCTCTTCTGTTGATATATAAACCTTTATTTTACCAGGAAAGAAGCACATTGAGATTAAGAATCTTACTCTGTGTTGGTCGTACTCTGGTCCTCTCCGTCGGGCCTCAAGTTCCTCATAGGATGGAGCTGCTCCCTCTATACGAGCCTGAAGATACTCCCTCCTCAGCTGCTGGATACGGTCCATACTGCTGAAAAAATTAAATAAAAACACAATCCACTTAGCATAATAAAGAAATGTGATGGTATGGCATAGTGGCTAAAGATCTGGGCCGGTAACCAAAAGGTTATAGGTTCAAAACAGACTTTCCCTAGTCACTTTAGATAAAAGATTCTAAATGCCTACTAAATTAAATTTAATCATTCAATAATTCAAACAATAACATTGTTGGCATAACATAGAAGTGGTTTATTCTCATTCAGTCAATTAGTACTACACGAGTGGCGGTTAGTCTACTTAATTGTTGAGTTTAGTTTTTTGGTTTTTAAGATGGTGTATTAACATAACTCAACTTTTAAAAACAAGTCTTAAGATCCTTGCGTTCAGTTCCACTTAGTGAAGCTCCAACTATCCCTTGTGACATTTGAACCTCTAATCTTTTGCTTACCATGCTAGATCTTCAAAGACTAGGCCCCACCACCCCCTTACATCTGCACATAGTCTCCTACGCATGAATACTATTTCCTGATGTACACATTTATAGATCTACAGTTATACGCACACGATAACACAACCGCTCAACCCTGGCCCACTCACACCCATCCAGTACAAAGAGCCACTATTGATTTGACCTATACATCATGTGATGGATAAAAATCAAGAAGCCCAGTTTATCAGACTGCTGATATGTCCGGATTGTAGCCACTTAAGAACAGTGCGGTGGCCCAGGCAACGACTCTATCATCGCCACTTATCAGAAACGACACGGCGATGGAGCTAAAGCAGACAGAAGTAATCAATTCTGTCAAAGATAATCAACAGCCCTTTGTTACAGTCCACTTCATATGTAGCAAGAATCACCTAATCTCACACACACAGAGAAGATTCAGCATGACGTCGTCATTGCGAGAAAAAAAAAGAGCTCCTGGTGCAGTATAAAAAAACAACACACAGAAAAACCAACAACCAGATATTATATAATTTAAACTTAAAATTGAATTGAACTAACCCTTTAACATTTGGAGCAATGAAACAAAAAAAAAAAATGACTTAATAAAATGTAACAGATTAAGAAACTTAAAACATTGTTATCTGACCAACATTAGTGAATCTAAGTTAGTTTCCATTTGTGTTCTACAGAAGAAAGAATGTCATATGTGATTTAAAAGACATTAGGTGGGAAAATGATGGCAGAATGTTGATTTTTGGATGAATTGTGCCTTTTATTCCCGTTCTACTTGTCCAAAGCTCACTAAACATCTCTGCCTTCCAGACACAGCAAAATGATGCCCTTATCAAACGTTCAAGAGGGGAATGTGTGATATTTCTCTTGCTCAAATATTGTGTTGTGGCACATAACTGTGGAAGTGTGACTTGGGAGATAAAGTCCTGTCAGTCATCTCACAGCTTCTAATACACAAACACCAAAATCAATCTCTCAACGCTCGGCTAACACAAACACAACCTTTCCACAACTGTTGCTTCCCATTGTCAACACACCAAGCAGAACAGCCATGTCCACCATCTCAGTGAGGGGTAAATGCAGCGATCGGACGCTGTGGGTGAGGATCCTATCATAAACATCACGCATCAGACAGTCATTTTTTTAGGACATCAACCCCTAGGGCTCAATGCCAGATGCTATTGTACTATGAATGTGCAGCTGAAAAAAAACGGCAGCAGAGCATAATGAGAGGGAAACGCACAATACGTTAAAAGACTGTATATACAATAGAGAGATTGTTTTGATAACCTAGATACAATATTAAATAATAGTACATATTGGACAAGCCACCTCACACATGACTTATTTAAAACATATAAGTAGTAGCCAAACATTAGCCGCTCAATCTATTGGTAATGTAACCAATTATTAAAAAGTTTGTATATAATGAATATTTATTTTGTTTGTGTACGTTTTTTTTTTTTTTTTTTTTTAAGGAGCAGTTCACCCATTTCAACATTAATCTTTATTGAAAGTGGATCATATATGTAGTCGAAACGAATTGGGTGCCACCTTGACCGAGAAAAGGGCGCATTTGAATGTAAGGGCGCACCGAAGGGCGCATTTGTATGTAAGACAACAACTCCCACAATGCACCACATTGGAGAGCTCCGCAAGCCACACCCACTAACATCAGAGAAATCACTCTTGCGTCTACAAGGCTAATGTTAGCTGGTGCCAGAGTTTAAAATTAATTTCACACAAGATTTCTAGTTAGTTGGCTGTGGCGAGCAGGATGAGGGCGAGGGGCGTGAGTGATAATGAAAGACACCTGTGAGACACACTGGTCCCGCATCTCTCATGGAGTAACGGAGCCATAAAAGGAGGAGCGAGGACGGCAGATCGAGAGATGAACAGGGCTGATTTTATGTTGTGTTTTGTTTCTGTTGTGTGTAACGTTACAGCAGTCGTCAATGAGGGGCTGCTGGCATATGCTTTTGTTTTGTATTTGTTCATTTAACTACTACAATGTTTAAATGTTCGCCGCCTCCTTCTTCCCACAATAACGAATCCTGTTAACGTTACATTGGCAAACGTATTAGTGAACTCCTCGTTTGTATTTCTTTCTACATGGTGTATTACTGCTTGATACCTGGATGTTCAGTCAGGCGAAACTAGGATGGTTTACATCACAACACAAACGTCCATGTTTATAGTCGACAGAATGTTGAAAAGGGTCAATCAAAATAAAGTGTTACCGATAATGCTTTTGATCTAACAATTGTGAATATTGAGAAGTATTGTTCATTGTTAGTTCATGTTAACTAATGTAGTTGACTCATGCTAACAAATGAAACCTTATTGTAAAGTGTTACCCTGAAATAATGAAGTTGAAGTACTAAACTTCCAAAAAACAATTAAATAAAAATAAAATTACTGAAACTAGGCTAAAAATGCAAATAATAATAATAATAAATACATTTAAAGAGAACTAGAGCAAAATATTAATAAATGCTAATAGTATATAACACATATTAAAGTAACAATGATTGGTCCAAAATCCCACACAACACAGATGTTTTTTTTAAAAACATCACATGTGTTTTTACTTCCAGAGAGGAAAAAAAGACGACACAAATCATAAATATGAGTGCCCAACATGTAGTGAAATCTCCCTGAAGAAAACAGACTTATTTTCACAATAAAACTAAATTTATACAACTACAGAACAAGTATGCTTTCATCAAAAACAAGTGTGGACTGACCACTCTATAAAATTCCCTCATTCTCCCTTTAGACGCAGAACACCAAAATTCAATTTACGTTTTTTTAAAGCCCCGACCAATCAGATTATCTGAGAGAGAGAGCGACACAGTGTGTGTGAGACAGAAAAAAAACTTGGGAGAACAGAGGATGAATGAGACAGTGGAGGGATTAGATTAAGACAAAACAAATTAACATGTCTTTTTTTAAAAGCTGGTTAGGCAGACAGCACGAGTGCCAGGCATTCCAGAGGGATGATGCTGTGGGAACGGGCCAGAGAGCTGCGACCCGGCGGCCACACGCACGCTCAAGCTCCTGAACCCGTACAGTGAGGTCTCAAAACAAACCAACCGTCTATGCAGAAACAAACACAACAAGAAATGTCCCACCATGGATTAATAACACACTCCCACAAAAAAACTAGCCGACCTCTCTCCATCAAACACTGTCATAAACAGCCTTTTTCATCGGTTTTTCTTTCAGGAACAATAAAGATGCCTGTGACTCAAGCAGGCCTAATGTTGCTGCTGCAGTCCCGGAGGTGTTCCTGTTAAGCACACATTCAGACACACAAACACACTGCTCTTTCCCCCCCCCTGTTTCTCTTAGCCACGCAGCATGCATGACATCAAATCCAACTCATGTTGTTGTAGGTCCCTGTCCAACTCATTTAAGTCACATACTGTATACATGGTAACACTTTACAATAAGCTTTCACTAGTTAACATGAAATAATAATGAACTGTACTTCTATAGCATTTATTAATCTCAGTTAATGTTAATTTCAACATTTACTAATACATGATTAAAATCAAAAGTTGTACGTGTTAACATTAGTTCATGCACCGTGGAGTAACATGAACTAGCAACAAACAGCTGGATTTGTATTAACTAGTGTTAAGAAAGATTAAAAAATACAGTAACACATGTTTTGCTTATGGTTAGTTCATGTTAGTTAATACATTAACTAATGAAACCTTATTGTAATGGGTTACCATATATATATCAAACAAAAAAAATCTGTACCTAACAATTAGTATTTTCAGCTACAGAAAAACACAATGAACAATTTGGTAACATATATATTGTTTTCAATCTACTGTATATTAACAGTTAACAGACGATTACGCTCCTTTTTAAGAAAAAAAAAATATGCAGAATTTTATTGAATGTGTCAATTTATGTGAATTTGAGTGAGTATTTGTCAATTTAGTACAGTATGTTCATATCTAAAAGGTTCATACTACAGGATAGCGAACTATGGAATTTAATTACCCCTTTCTCAATTTCTACACCGAAATGCACACAAAATGTAAATTTACAATTAATTCAACTGTAATAAAAACATCTTAAACGTGAAAAGATATCTTTCACTCTACTTTTATTGATCTTTGACAATTTAATTTCAATAACTTCACACTGCCAATGCTTAAAACAAATGTACATTAAAATTGAAACCAATGAAGAATCAGCATTTTGCCAGAAAAATCCAAAGTAACATACTAGACATTTTAAGTGTTTTTCCAGGGAATCAAACCCATGACCTTGGGGTTGCTGTCGCCACGCTCTACCAGTTACACACCCCAACATGAACGCGATTATTGATCGTATTGTGCCATGAACGAATTGTGGCATTTTCTTTATTATTTTTGTGTTCTTGTTGTAACCAAGGCCATGTAGTAGAGAGAGAGAGAGAGAGAGAGAGAGAGAGAGAAAACATAATTGGGAAAAAACACACATTATATACCCTCAATGAGTTACGAACAACATTTCATTTTCACTTCAGCATCAACCATAAAAAAAGCCACACACACACACACACA